TGTAACTTTTAATACCCCTGCTTTCAAAAATTTTATATTTGCCAATTTAATTATTCCGCAATTATTTTAATATTACTACACTGCTGAAAATAATTTAAATCTCTGATTATCTTTAGGGAATATACTTGTAATCAAATTTATTCTTTAAAAAAAATTATTCACTGTAATACTTTTGCTTAAAGGTAATCATTAGCCACACTGCATAGGTACCTAGCGAACCATTTTTTCGTATTTTTGGCACGTATTTGAAAAATTCTTTCATTATTTTGAAAAGAAAAGGCAATAATATGCTTATATCAGGTTCTTAATTAATTATATCGAACTTGTCTAATGACCTTTCTATAACGGACGTGTAAAGAAATGTTTTGTAATTATTGCTTTCAGAAGTAAATACCAAAAATTTGTTACAACTGCTGGCAATTTTTTATTAAAAATAATCCGATAGAAGTATCTAATAAGACGCCGTCATAATAATAAAGAAGTACTTTTATTTACCCTGCAAATTGTATAAGCTCCTATCATTCTACAAATTTATATAAAATATTATCAATATATGTATAACACAGTATGTTGGTGTTTCCCCAAGAATTTTCAAGCACGATTAACCTGTTAACTTCAAAATAGTACTTTTTCTAAGAAAAATAAATCATAAAATAAAGAGAAAACAAAGTTATTATTAATAAAATAACAAGACTTTGTTTTCGCTTTATCTATATATCAGTTTAAATTGTTTGGCAATATTAACAGAAAGAAAACCAGGGCAAAATAAAAAAGTTTAAATGTAACAATAAATTAATCATATTCACACGGTGATTTATCATTTCAATTTAGCATAGGATCTGAGCAATAAAAATTATTACGCAAAAGTTTGAAAGTCCGCGTTACTGTATACAATCCAATTTAAACAGTAAATTCCAACATATTTTTTTATATACAGAGCACATCTATTATATAAAAGTATTCTGCGTACAACTTTGTAGTCACTGATTACGTCACAATCTCACTTTACGACACTACATTGACGTCATATTGCATAGGGAACTTCCCTTTTCGAGTCAATTCCTTTTTAAAGGTTATACCGTCACAAGGTCACAACGATTGCCGTTATCAGTTATTTTTTGTAGTACTTGCGTATACATAATATATACAATACTTGTAGAGAATTGGTAAATAACGACACAATGCTATGTAAATCAGACCTACCTACATATACATACATAAAACAACTGTAACTTAAAATAAATCTTTGTAGTTTTCTCGCGGCGAAACTATAAAATGAAAATATACTTTTTATACAGCTTTAGCATTATTCTGCTCTAAAAAAAGTTCATACTTTTTAATATGATACATGATTCTAAAAAAATTTATCAGAATTGGACAATTCTATAGTCTTTAAAAATTGAGCCTACTTTTAAAATTCTATATTGTCAATCTTCAGGCGGACTTTTTCCTGGCTTAACAGGATAAACATTATTGCCGAATTACGTTTATCTGTGCTATTAAATCGAAATTGTCATTGACAACTGTCGGGACGTATTTTTTTTTTCAAGCATTACCTATTGCTTTTAAATATCAAATCAATACAGTAACAGATTTAACTGATAGTAATAAAAATATTTTTTAGCATCTACAATGATTAGACGAGAAGTCTACAACAAAATGGTTTATTACCGATAATTAACACGCTTTAAAACGCGAAATATATTGTATTACATATATTGTACTACAAAGTTGAAAATTTTTGAAATACTGACTCCTATCTACCATTTCTTTTTACAAAAAAATGGAATTAACTACTCTTTTAAACGTTCCCCAATCATGCAATGCAATTCCAGTCCACTCTATTAGACACATGCAGACGTTCAATTTAAATGTCAACTATTATAGGCAAAGAATTATTTTTTGATTGTAACGTAACTTCAAAACAATCGTTATTTTAATAAAATACAGATTTCTACATTAAAGCCACATATTCAAAACGTTCAGTTATCTCATTTTTCATTTCTAATGTTATGAATTATATAATCATTTTATTTCTTATTGAACGCCACTGGTATAAAACAAACTATATCAGTGCTTAAGGGAATAAGTCCTATCGTTCTAGTCATAATAAAACCTTTTTTATTGCCAATGTGAGACTTTACAGTGTAATTACAAGACGAACTTACCTACAAATGACGACAAAAATCGAAAAAATAAGGAAAGGATGAATGCTTATTTATACTAGCTCTGTCCTGAACAAACAGAGTATAAATAACCATTTGGTTCCTTTTGATTTTAAAGCTTTCACGGTGCACGGTAGACAGCTGATCTTCGTTCTTGACAAAATAAGAGGGGGGGGGTCCTTTCGTCCATACAATAACGTTCCATGTAACCCTTTTACACCGACTTTTATGTAACTAGCCATGGGTAATTGTTTTCAAAAAATTCTTTAAGTTAAAAATTAGGGCATGTAACTGGAAACTGTTGCATACATACACACCACCACGTTAAAAAATTACCATTGGAGCATATCAATTTGTAAAAAATTAAAATAAATCTGCCAGTATGAGCCTTCGATATATTACATTCAAATCGCACGAGAGAAATAAGATTTATACTTATAAATAAATATTTTAAAATATTGCGAGAAGGCTCACTAAAAAAATGAGAGACAAATAACACAATAAAAATTCTAAATGCAAATCAAAAAACCAAAATAGTGTAACGCGAAAGGGATAATGAGAAAAAAAGCCCAAAATCCAGATATCCAGTTGTCTTTTCAACCAGCTGGAATCGGGTAGAATGTGGCCAATGAGTCCTCAACGCGAACCTGTAAAAATAAAGATATAAATATCAAGCACTTATTTAACTTACGTTTTGGCTTCGGTGGTATCAACTTTATTGCTCCAGGCCTCTCAGCAGATTCTATTTTTGACTTCTTTTCTGGAGGTGGTGGTAATATGTCCCTCGTCGGAGACAACTTCTTATGCACCGGGTGTGATGGTATAGTCGGTAACGATGTTGTTGGCTTCTTCGTGGGTCGTGGAGGTGGTGGTTTCACTTCCTCCTCTAAACCAGTTGAGCGCATTTTAGCATTAAATACCTTAACAGTCTTAGGTCTTTCTTCAGTCTTTCGGATCTCAATGGAAATTGAGCCTTTCTTTGCATCTTTGCTATTGTCAGAAGACCCTTCAGACGCCTTTTTCGGTATCTTCGGTAACTTCGTCACGCTTTGGGGCTGAACTTTAGCTAATGTGTCCTTGTCCTTTTCTGCTTGTTTCTCTTTTGTATCTTTTCTAGACGATTCTTTTCGTTCTTTGTCTTTGGAACTAGAACTTTTATGATTACTGCTGCTACTACTTTTTATTTGCCCATTGTGCCGGTGTTTACTATCCCTCTTGTCTCTGTGACTTCGATCTCTATCCCTGTTGCTTTTATGTCTATCCCTATCCTTTGACCTCTGCGAGTCTTTACTACTACTGCTACTCTTGTACTTGTCCCCACTTTTTGATGAAGTACTACCTTTTTCATTCCGATCTTTTTTCTTTTCTTCTCTATTCTCTTTTTCCTTAACATCCTCTTCTTCAACTTTTGGCTGTCCATTAACATCCACTTCTTCAATTATCGCGTTTTCAACAACCGTACAGTTTGCCTCGCTTCTATTCACTTTTGACAACACCTGCTTACCGTCTCTAACTGATAATTTATAAAAAGTTTGCGTATCTATAGCTTGTTCATCAAACACTGCACTGTCAACATGATCAATTTCTTCAATAGTCTCATCTGTAGTATGATCTACTTGAACAACAGGTACGTCAACTACTTCAAAGGGAGGTGGTTCAGTATCATTTCCATTCGTAGTATGCTTCGTCTCTTTCTGCTGAAGAAGTTGCTGTTGCTGCTGCAATGGTTGATAATGGTGTAACTGTTGATTTACAATATCTACACTTGTTTCCTGTTTAACTATCTTAAGCCATTGCTGCACTAATTTATTTGACAGCTCGAAGATGCCTAGTAAATAAAAATGGTGTTAAAAAAGAGGCAATCACTGCAACTAAAGTTAAATGAAACAAAATATTACATTATTAATTACATACAATAATACTTCTATTTAAAGAGATAACTTTTCATCAAAAATGTTTTTATGTATAAGAAAACTGTAAATAAAAGAAATATGAATTTGAAAAACTGTTAATAACGAAAAACCATAAATTTATAAATATATCACCTGAAAACCTTTTAATTTTACTGAAACTATTAAGAATAAAAGCAACTATAATAAATGTCATAAATACATCATAAATATAATCAAATAAGAGCAAATTTTACTATTTACAATATCACTCAAAGAACTATCAATTAATAAGCACACACAATATAATAGTGCATATATCATTGAAAATGTATTAATTTTACTGAAATTATTGAAAATAAGACCAACTGTAACAAATGACACTTCATCACTAATATAATCAAATTGAGCAATAAAATTACTATTTACAATATTACTTGGAAAATAATACTGCTTCAGCTTCATTTTGTTAGAAAGAAAACAGATTAACCATCTGTATCAACCAAATATCATCAATTTTTTAAAACAACCAAAACAACATCTTTAAAGTGTTAAAATGATAGAATTAAACACAAAGCAATTACATTAACAAAGTAATTATCTAAAATTATTAGTGATATGCAAATAACATGACAAATTACAATGACTCATGATTTTTAGAATTAAGCTAGACAACTTTAAAATAATGATTTTATAAATCAATTGACTCACCATCTAATTCCTCCCTTTTGGACAAACTCTTCACCAACTTTGGAATGTTGTTGGATTTCAATCGTTCAACATCAACGGGCGTTATTAGCACCAATTCTAAAAGTTCCTTAACAAGCGCCCAATTAGAATTACACATTGCATCATGTAACCACACTTGCAAAAGAGTCCAACCTCCAACTGCCATGAAGTTTCCCAGCAATTGCTTTTCAGTATTTTTTAAAATTAGTATATAGACGCATTTGCTTACTAATTTCTTTGAAAATTTTGTCATTAAACTAAAAATATAAGTAGGTACTTTAGAATTTTTTAATTTTTAAAATTTTGAGGTTATATACCTTGCTAATCGTTGCACTTCGTTATTTGACAATATTCCTCCCGTAGTGGGACTTAGCAAAACTTGCAAGCAATTAAGTAATTGAAGCGGATCAATTCGCGGCTAAAAGTAAATAAATAGTAATTTTAATTTCATATCAATTCAGAAATGGCGTCAATGACAGCTGACGTCAAAATCATTCGTAAATTTATGCATGGATAACTGAGTCTGGTCTACAAAAATCTATATTCGAATATAAAACGAGAATGCTTTTCAAATTAAGTATTATAAGAAAACGCTTGTTATGATTATAATTATATTTAATTACAATCCATATGGAACCTTACCATTTTTGTCGTACGGAAATTTAATTACGCTTCACTAAAAATTAACCATATCGAAGTGTCCGCTGGCTTAACGTAAATTCTTGTCTTATAACAAATAATGCTTATATTTGATTAAAGCTAATAATGATCCTTTTTATTGGGACACGCCCTAACCACCATTACGCCTTTACCTACTACATATTGATATACCAGCTGTACTTAATAAAAACGTTTTTGGATATATAACCGTCTATACCTTTTGAAAACAATAGTTCAAAAGTGTTTAACGTATTTAAATTTATATAAACAATAACTGAAAACAAACAATATACGCAAATATTAGATTTTTAACACGATTCGTACGGAACGACTTTGCGATTACAAGATGGCAACGGAAATGAATTTCGTTGCGAGTTATTGAACGATCCGATCCGTAACGTTAGCGATGAACATGAACAAAACACAAGCGCGAAAAGGAAATACGTCACAATCTGCAGTTTCATTACCAACCGTAAAAATTAAAGTTGAATTTTACCGAAAGAATAATAATAAAAGTGAGTTAAAATTACAAGTGTAATTATTAATAATTAATACTATAAATAATAAAAACAATATGGTAAGGGCAGAAGATAGAAATTTTTGTATAAAATATGTAATAAGTTTTGTTGATTTTTGACATCAAAATGAACTATAGAAAGATAGAAACTAACTATTTATACTGTCCATAAAATTCTAAAATAAGCTCCCTATGGGTGTCAGTTAATTTGCTATGTTATCTATGTTTGCTATCCATTACCAGTAATGTTAGTAATTTATTAATACTAATCGTTCATAGACAATTGTTACAAATATTTAAAATAGATAAAGTACGTGCAATTTACCTTAAATATGTTAGGTCGTAATACTGCCAGTAATTTGAAGAAAATTATTTTCAGTAGAGTGCCATCCTTCCAATTATCTACAATATCTTATAATAATCAGAATATAACTGAAAACATCGAAGAACGTGAAATAACCAAAGATAGAACACAACAAATTCCAGTTGAAACTAGTATTCAATATTTAGCAAGTAAAGCGTATCAAATAACATATGGCAATCACCCTGTCTGGGTACCATACCGTCGAAATTACAAGGGCAGCAAACCTCCAAGAAAAACCAGAAAAACGTGCATAAGAAGTGGTCAAATAGCTACTGGAAATCCATGTCCAATATGCCGTGATGAATATTTAGTGTTACATGAACAAAATGTAGATTTACTGAAGCAATTTATTTGTCCACATACTGGTAACACTTTGAGCTTTTCTAAAACAGGCTTATGCCAAAACAAACACAAGCTACTTTTGACAGTCATTGAGAGAGCCAAAGATCTTGGTCTCTTGTCTTTTGATGTGCACTTTCGCCAATATAACTATTTAGATTATTACACTCCATCGAAATAATTATGGAAGCAACATTTTTGATAATAGGCGGAGGAATAGCAGGAATAAGTTGTGCAGAAACACTATCATATTTAGAACCTGATCAAAAAATAATCCTTATTAGTGAGTCTTCTCTAATTAAAACAGCTGTGAATTTACAAGTGCTTACTAAACTGTTAACCACATTTGATGTACAAGAAAAGGAAACATCAAGTTTAACTGAAAGCCATCCAAATATAATAGTTGTTAGTGATCGTTTAACTCAAGTTTGTAATACTGAAAACACAGTAAAAACTGCTTCTGGACAAAATTACAGTTATAAATATTTATGTATTTGCACAGGAGCCTATCCAAAATTAATTCCTCAAGCAGATATGTTTAGAAATTACATTGTAGGCATTAGAGATACAGATTCTGTTGAAACCTTTACTAAGAAATTGCAGATTGCAAAAAAGGTTGTTATTGTTGGAAATGGAGGCATTGCTTCTGAAGTAATTCATAAAATTCGTAATGTAGAAGTACACTGGATAATTAAAGATAAACACATTTCAGCAACTTTTGTTGATCCAGGAGCTGCAGAATTCTTCCTTTCATCTATCCAGGAAATAAAAAAAGATGACCCCAAACCATGTAAAAGGATGCGTTTTAAAATTGAAGATAGCAAAAAGTCAGGTGCAGCATTAGGCCCTGACTGGTATGAAAATTTAGAAATTTACGGAAGCAGTAAAGCTACTCCAAGAGATATAAAAATTCATTATCAAACTGAAATATCTAAAATTGTAATGTCAGAAGGAAATCAATATCCTATCGAAGTTATTCTAATAAATGATGAAGTAATACCATGTGACCTCATTATTTCAGCGACTGGTGTATTACCTGCTACAAATTTTGAATTATCCAGTGATATTAAATTATCAGAAGATGGAGGAATTTTAGTAAATGAATTTATGCAGAGTTCTGTGTCAAACATTTATGCAGCTGGTGATGTTTGTACAGCTAACTGGCAATTAGCTAAACACTGGTTTCAGATGAAACTTTGGACACAAGCACGACAAATGGGTTGTTTTGCAGCCAAAAGCATGGCAGCAGCATTTGCCAGAGAAGAAATTTATCAGGACTTTTGTTTTGAAATGTTCACTCATTCAACTAAATTATTTGGATATAAAGTTATTTTGTTAGGCCTCTTTAATGGCCAGACATTGGGTACCAATTATGAAATTTTATTAAGGATGACCAAAGGTCTTGAGTACATAAAATTTGTACTAGAAAACAACAGACTTCAGGGCGCTGTGTTAATTGGAGATACCGATCTTGAGGAAATGTGTGAAAATCTTATACTTAACCAAATTGATTTATCACCATTTGGTGAAGATATTCTTAATCCAAATATAGATATAGAGGATTATTTTGATTAATAATTACTTTTTTCTTCTTAATTAACAAATTATGCTTTAATTAATGAATCATTGATGTTTAATATTAATGTAGAGAAAGTTAAAATAAACAAAAAGTAGAAATATAAAAATGATATTCATATTTTATGGCTGGTTGTTTTACATTTTAAACTTTAACACAAATCAAAAATAAAATATATAAATAAATATGTATTAGGAGTAATCCAGGAATTCGTTTCAAAGTGATTGTGAAGAACTTGTACTTTTAATTAATATTCTGTGAGATTTTAATTTTTTAAAAACCTAAATATCAGAATTTTGTGATTCTGTTACTTTTTTGGCTGTATTTCTGGAAACATATTGCTAAAAACTTGCTCTTAACCATATTTATTCTTACTTAGGTATTGCAAGAACGGCACATTGTCATGTTGGTCGGTTATTTACGAAAAATTATTTAAATATTAAGTAACAAGTAAATGTTTCAGAAATAGAAAAACATTAAAGGTAAACATTTAAAGGTATGTGAAATGCTTAAAATACAATGCAACTTTTGAATTGTGAAATAGCAAATACATGAATTTGTTTTTTTCGCAAAATATTTTTTTTAAGTAATACTTGGTAGCAATAACTAAAAACACATTTAAATGTTTTAGGAAAAAGGTTTATTGAAACTGAATTTTAGAAAATTAATTATTTTAATCACTTAATAAATTAATTAATTCGAATGCAAAAGATGTTTTTAACCTTCGAATCTTAAATAATTCGCGCCAGACTAGATGTCGACTCCCTTCCGTCAACTTCGCCAACGTTCGAATAATTTCGTTACCAGTTGCATTTTCCTGAGTTTTAATTTAGAACGATTTCTCGTTTTATCTAATTATAGTGATAATTACTCATGGTGGATGTATTTAAATTTTATCAAAGTATGTTGTAAACTGGCAAAACGATTATTTGGTAAAAGAAAGTAGTACATGTTAACAACAATACGAAAATGTCGTTGATGACGTACTTGCTCTTGTCACCCTTTCACTAGTCTATTGCTTCTTGTTCTGCTTGTGGCTTTCGTGAACATTTTTGTTTCGAAATTTTAGAAAAAATAATGGTACATACAAAATTTGTATCACGACAGGTTCTGGATTTATGGTTTTATCCGTGGTATGTATTTTTATTATTCGGGTATCAGATTATTTTTATAATTCTCATTAATTAAGTTGTTAAGTAAATGGACGACGGCGTAAGCGTTACTCCACCATATTTGATAATATAGAAAAAGCAATGGAAGCTTGTTTATGTACATCAATTAATTTTTGTGAAAAATAATTGCTACTGGTTCAGTATAAATAAAATTGATTTTGTAAAATAATTCAGTGTATGTAACAAAATCAGTGTTTTCGTTCATTAACATTTTCTTGATCTACAAAATTATTATTTTTGACTTTTTATTTTGTTCTCTCTACAGATATACTTCGGAATACATTGCCTCCTGCCTTTGCCAATGCCATACAATGTATTCTTCAGCTATTCAACCTACACGGAGACTGTGCTTTGTTGTCGAGAGGTAATTAATTTTAATTTTATTAAATTTTACATGTTCAAACATGCATTACATCTGGCAATTTAGGCTTCTTCAACGTATGTATTTGGAATTTCTGGGTGTCGGTGTTTTATTTTGTTATTAAATTGCAGCCTTCTCTTTGAGGAAATGTGCTAAGGATCATTTCTAAGAATTTTTTACAAATGAAATTTTGACATCCAATAGATCACCAAGAGCAGGAACAAATGTTAACTTCAGGTGTGATGTTCTATTGTTTTAGAAAATGCATATCATAGAATTTTGCCTTTTTTGGTATTTATTTTAGTTTTTAATAGTATAGTTAATTATTTTTTTGTCCATTTCTGCAGATTGACTATGAATGAGAAGGAGAGAGAGAACATTGAAGTTGATTTTGACGTTGTGCAGCAACCAGTGTCTACAATAGTACTATCGTTTTTTCTGGACTTTTGGACCGATGAGAGAGAATAACTGAAAATTTATAAGGAAACTAAAAAACATATTGTCAATATTGCTGGATTTGGCTTGCTCTTCATACTTGTATAACTTTAGAACATTGCATTCTTCATTTAATTAAGGTGAGAATACATGGTATAATTAATATTAATGCTTTTTATTAATCTGTTATGGTGTTTAGTTTAACAACATAAATTAACATTAACGTGCATCTATAATTATTTCACATGTAATTCTGTTGTGATGTAAAGTTCGTTAATCGCCATTTTATAATTCAGTCATTTTACTTGCTTTTTGATGCATGTTTTGTCATATTTCATATCTTATTTATATGCAAGTGTAATTAATTTTTTTTTGTTCATTTCTGCAGATTGTTCAACAAAAGGGAAAGAATTAAAGTTCAGTTTGGTCCTACTGAAACAACCAATGTCTACATGGACATCATCTTTCCTGGATTGTTCTCTTGATTACCTGTTTACATCTTTGCCTTGCAACATTATGAAGTTAATTTTCAACTGATGTGTGGAGATTAATTTGAATTCAATGGAAACAACAATTTTTCTGCGATGATATTCGTGCTGGATTTATTTTGCTTTTTCCACCTGCAAAGTTTGGAATGTTACAATCTACAGTTAATTAAGGTGAGAATATTTGATATAATTAATTTTAATTGCTCTTTATTAATCTATTTGCCACCGTATCTGTTTCAGATCGACGTTGGAGAAGACAAAGATGACCCCGTAGTTGAAATAGTTCTTTATCTTGCATGCTCTATCTAGTAGAATTCATTAAGTTGATTTTATTCAAATTAGTTTTTTATTTTGCATGTTTTTTTTGTTTTTTTGTAGTTAATTTGATTTAGTTCTTATTTTGCATGCTTATTTTTGTTCATTTTGTTTGAAGTAATTGTTGATTGTAGATGTTTTTATTTTTTTTTGTATGTAGTAGTAGTGTAGTTACTAGTACTAACTCGTTTAGTAGTTGTAGTATAGTCTAACATGTCTCTTGCTTACCTCTTCGCTTAGCTTACTGCATATTCTTACTATAAATTGCTTTGCATTTACCCTACGAGTTCTACATGATTCAACGTTTCGTTATCGTGTGTGTTTCTTCTCACCCTTGTGGAATTAGGGAGGGCCTCCCCGAACGACTTCCCTTGGGCTTAGCTATTTAGTTGATCTTAAAAGTGTCTTATACACTTTTCGCGAGTCTACTCTAGCGTTACTTCCTTTCAGACGGGGTACAGTGGGTTATCTGGAATAGGAGCAATAGGCGACTGCCCAGCTTGCCTTGACGAAATCTGTCCGATCTTCTCTACCAAAGCTATTAGTATTTGCCGTTAGTCCTGTTAATTTGCACTATTTGCTTTCAGATAATGAGGTATTCCCTAAGAAGAATGAAGACATCGTTTTTTTCTAATTTTTATTGTATTTTCTTGCAAATTTCATTTATTTTCTTGTCTTTCTCTTTCAGGTATTTCGTTTTTATTGTATAAACTGCTGAATTACCAAAAATGTGTAACTGTAGCTTAAATTGTTAGGTAAAACTTTTCTAAATTGAGTTTTTGGCATAAATGTTAAAACCAAATTAAATACTTTGTTATCACGTTCATAATTAATATTGATTTGGGCGGATAGGGTGGCTATAAGGGGAGATGTGGAGGCCACAGAGTGTCAGAGGGCATTTTTATCTTAAATATGGTATTTCAATGGTAATTCAACAGTTTATACATTGTTAAAAGTTGCAAATTTTTTAAAATGTCCAGATTTTGTTAATGTAATTTATTGTTTTGTTATAAATATAGTTTTTGAGCTTTTGTTAATAAAATTCGTATCTAACTACCTGTTAACATGCATTCTATCTTTGTATTATAAATACTATTAATTTGCAAAAAGAAATGTTTTCTTGAACAAATTCTATCTTAATATAAATTGTAAATGATGTGTAATAGAAGTATGAAATAAATTTGTTTTAATATAAACAGCTATGCGTTTATTTTATCAAAAAAAAAAGATTGTCATTTGTTGAAAAATATAATTCATATTTATTATCTTGAAGATTTAAGTTCATTAGAAATCAGAAATTTTCACCTTTCCCGCATGCCTTCTAAACATATTTAAAATCCTTAAATTTCCTATAATTTTGTCTAAACAGCGCCCTCTGACGCTAAGGAGTTGAATTTTATTGAGAAACCGAAGGAAAACTACTATATTAAGTTCCCGCGCTGAAACCGCGAATCTAGAAAAAAGATCTCATGCGACTTATGCTCTCCTAATACAAATGTTTAAATTTATGAAAATTTTCTGTTTCGTGACATATACGAAGTCCGATTAAAAAATAGTTGAACAAGTTTTGATTATTTAATTATTATTTAGTCGGACCTCGTATATGTAACGAAACTGAAAATTTTCATAAATTTGAACATTTGTATTAGGAGAGCATAAGTCGCAGGAGATCATTTTCTGGATTCGCGGTTTCAGCGCGGAAATTTTAAGTTTTGATAGGTCGATTATTTTTTAATCGGACCTCGTATATGTCGCGAAACTGAAAATTTTCATAAATTTGAGCATTTGTATTAGGAGAGCATAAGTCACATGTGATCTTTTTCTGGATTCGCGGTTTCAGCGCGGGATCGACTTTAATTTAGCTGCTAATGGTATGATGGCGCTAGTAATACCAAAATTAATATAATTTCTTTGCTTTTTAAACATATTAGTGGTCTTTAAGAGTTTATTTTTGTATACGTATAAGGACTTTCAATAAAACATACATGAAATTAAAAACACAAAATTTATTTACTTATTTATTTATTTCATCACCAAAACAATGATAATACAATGATAATTCATTTATTATTTAGACACATAATTTACATTTATTACAACAAACATATTTATTTCAAATAACAGCATGATACATAACATACACAAAATATCCAACAAATAATGCATCATTCTAATTATTACATTTACTAGTTATTTACAAGCTGTTGAATTACCATTGAAGTACTACATTTGGGACAAAAATGCCCTCTAACTCTCTGTGGCCTCCACATCTCCCCTTATAGCCACCCTATCCGCCCAAATCAATATTAATTATGAACGTGGTAACAAGTATTTAATTTGGTTTTAACATTTATGCCAAAAAATCAATTTAGAAAAGTTTTACCTATCAGTTTAAGCTACAATTACATATTTTTGGTAATTCAACAGTTTATACAATAAAAAGCGAAATACCTGAAAGAAAAATACAAAAAAATAAATGAAATTTACAAGAAAATACAATAAAAAGTAAAAAAAAAACGATGTCATCCTTCTTCTTAGGAAATACCTCATTATCTGAAAGCAAATAGTGCAAATTAACAGGACTAACGGCAAATACTAATAGGTTTGGTAGAGAAGATCGGACAGATTTCGCCAAGGCAAGCTGGGCAGTCGCCTATTGCTCCTATTCCAGATAACCCACTGTACCCTGTCTGAAAGGAAGTAACGCTAGAGTAGACTCGCGAAAAGTGTATAAGACACTTTTAAGATCAACTAAATAGCTAAGCCCAAGGGAAGTCGTTCGGGGAGGCCCTCCCTAATTCCACAAGGGTGAGAAGAAACACACACGATAACGAAACGTTGAATCATGTAGAACTCGTAGGGTAAATGCAAAGCAATTTAGGAAGAATATGCAGTAAGCTAAGCGAAGAGGTAAGCAAGGTTAGACTATACTACAACTACTAAACGTGTTATTTCTACTACTACACTACTACTACATACAAAAAAAAAAAAAAACATCTACAATCAACAATTACTTCAAATAAAATGAACAAAAATAAGCATGCAAAATAAAAACTAATTCAAATTAACTACAAAAAAACATGCAAAATAAAAAATTAATTTGAATAAAATGAACTTAATGAATTCTACTAGATAGAGCATGCAAGATAAAGAACTATTTCAACTACGGGGTCATCTTTGTCTTCTCCAACGTCGATCTGAAACAGATACGGTGGCAAATAGATTAATAAAGAGCAATTAAAATTAATTATATCAAATATTCTCACCTTAATTAACTGTAGATTGTAACATTCCAAACTTTGCAGGTGGAAAAAGCAAAATAAATCCAGCACGAATACCATCGTAGAAAAATTGTTGTTTCCATTGAATTCAAATCAATGTCCTGTTGCTCTCACACATCAGTTGAAAATTAACTTCATAATGTTGCAAGGCAAAGATGTAAACAGGTAATCAAGAGAACAATCCAGGAAAGATGATGTCCATGTAGACATTGGTTGTTTCAGTAGGACCAAACTGAACTTTAATTCTTTCCCTTTTGTTGAACAATCTGCAGAAATGAACAAAAAAACGTATTAATTACACTAATAATTACGGAAGGCATTAAACACCTAAAAGAAAGTACTGATTAATTACACTGTGACATAAATAAGACACGAAATACAACGAAACATGCATCAACAATGCAAAAAAATGACAGAATTATAAGATGACGACAACTGTCAATTTACATCATAGCATAGATAAATGTTGCGAACTAATCATAGATGCATTCAACGCCAATTTATGATCTAGACAATAGATAATTGTTAAAAGAAATAAGTTGCTGTCATAACCATAGACATATATATTAGACGTGCCTTAGCCGTATGTCATTGTAACAATTTCTTAGCTCGAAAAGTGAGGGAGATGGCGTATGGTTTCGGACTAATGCTATTTCTTTCATAACACCATACGCACTATTGTGAGAGAGATGGATATTGTCCGAAACATCGTTCCATCTCTTTCTTTCGTTGTACCACAATTCTGGCCGCTTAGGCACGTCCATTAGTAGACGTCGATGGTCATAACTATCAGAAGGAAAACCATAAATGTTAAGAGATGATAAATTACTACGAAAATAAAGTACAGTAAAACAATTGCTTACCTCGAGGATTACCGAAGGTGCTCGAGTTTTATTCCTAAGCGTTGACAGCAGAGTGCCTCTAACAATAGATACTTTTGAAAGGAATATGATACCATTGACAATGAAATGAACCACAGAGTAGAAGACACAAATATCACATGCGCAGCCTTATATACGTCTGTGTGAATTGGACCACTTGTTTTTCTAAAAAACATTAACGGGGCTTCACTTCTCCAGGTTTCGAATCCTTTTTACTTGCCTCCTTCTTGATTTAGTGTTTAAATTATAACCTGTTGAAACAATTTAATGTTATTTTCATCTTCAATATTATGTATTAAAATATTAAGAACTATAACTACTATCAATAAAATTATAGAATATCAAACTTACTCATTAACTACTACAATTCAGAAGAGTAAAAAATTGTAGTAGCAATTATTGTCAAACTAACGAAATACAAGATTTAAAGATGCACAAAGCATTTCATAATTACAACTGTCCTTTCCAAATCCAAGAGAAGAAAGTATGAGTGGGGGGGCTGTGTTTCTCCACGTTTCGACTCCTTTTGATTTACCTCATGTTCATCTTTATGTTTTAATGGAAACCTGTTGAAACAATTTAATATTACTTACATGTTCACTAGGTTTTGTTATTTTATTATTAATGATAAATACCATTGTTAACATCTTATGTCCAATGAATTTTTTAATCAGCTTAGAGGCATTTTTGGAAATAAAATAAGTCACACTGTCACAGACATTACATCTGTAGGTAGTTTGTCCATCCAATCCTAGGTTGTCATCTCACAGCAAGCCTGTATTATTAAAAAAAAAAAAAACAAGTTAAAATCCAAACTTTAGAATAACAAGGCAAAAATGAAAATTTTTCTAACAGAAATATAGAATTTTTGAAGGCAGAGTAATATTTTTGAGAAATATTTTACATATTTTGGCTATAAAACGAAGGCAATTTTTCGAGGAGTGGTCACATCGATACGAAAAATCTACAATCATCGCCTTAACTTCTTTTGAAAATTTAAAAATTCTAATAAAACCATAATTATTCGACCTCAAATAAATTAAGAGTTTATAAAAATTCACAGTAGATGAACGAACGGGCAAGATGCCAAGATGGAATCCCATGTTGAAGCACGAAGACATCACGTCAAAAAAGATCTAAGCAACGGTAATCGAAACCCATCAATCACGAAATAGAAACATATTCCACACAATCAAATGAAAATTGAATAAGGATTAGGGCTAAATACCTTCAGGCGTCGTCTCCCTTTATAGACAGCATAGACCAACGGACAGCAAAAACGAGATACACT